AAGTTTGCTCTGAGTATGAAGATAATGAGAAGAGTCGGACACCAGAATCTCTGCAAGCTCCAATATTGCTGTCTGAAGGAGAGAAGTTGGACAGCGCTCCCAGATCAGAGAGAAGATCTAAGTTGGGTAGTCTACGGTCAAGAAGAGGTAAACCTGCTTCTACTCTTCAGATCCGAACAGGTGGAAACACTGTAAAGGTCATAGGAGCTGTTAATGATGCTGCAAATAAATTGATTCCACAATCTCTTTTCCTTGGTTCAGGAGATGTGGAAGAAGAAATCTTTACACCAGACAAGGAGAGTTTCACCCCACATACTCTCCTATTGAAATCTTTGAAAAGAAAAGCTAAGCTGGAAGGAAGTAAAGAGTCTAAAGTTTCTTCCAACATGTGTGCATCATCCTCTCCAAATACTACTTCTAGCCCCATTGTCCAGCGAGATGAAGACTTGATTGCCTCTTCTGACGGAGAGAACCAGACACCAAAAATTCCTGAACAGCAAAAACAAGTGAAATCCAAAAAAGATAGGATGGTAATAAAAAGAACAACAGAAGGGGCTCCATTACAATATTTTCTTGCGAACCCTGCTGGCAAAAGCATATCAGAAGCTTCAGTCCCCAAGACCACAACAGGAAGCAACAAGTCTGTCTATTCTAAGACAATAGAGAAGAGGATTGCTCATACCTCATCAGTAAGTGCCCAGAAAGGGCTCTACTTTTGTTTCAGAATTCATTGTTATGGGCATTATCTGCTGGAATATTTGTAGTAACCTCAGTTTAATTGCAGAATAACTCTGTTGGAGAGAGAAGGAACACTTGGACAATGGTAACGGACATCACTTCTCTAATGGACAGAAAGTCAAGGAAGTCATTACAGCTTTTACAAGGTCTCAAGGGGACTCGTTTGATCATTCCAAGAATGGGTAAATGAATCTATATTCCTATCCTCTTCCTTTATCTAAAATAATTTAGCATTCTTTATTAGACTTGCATTGAACTGATTTTTTTTTTTTTTTCACAAAATGGATAAATTTCTGTTTAGTCACAAGAGAGCTGGATTCTTTGAATTGGCCTGGTAGTCTATTTAGAAGAAAAACAGAGGCAGCTTCAGTGGTGGAATGGATTGAAGATTGTATGGTGAAAACAAAATGGTGGATTCATGTCCAGAGCTCAGTAGAGGAAGAGCAGCAAATTTTACTAACTCTGCCAGCTTCTCCTCAGTCTCAATTCAGGGAAAGCAGTGAGGGGGTTTTTCCTGGAGCAGCATCAGCCACTGAAAGTTTCACACAAATTGCTTCACCTACAGTTGAGGATCATGTTCTTGACTTTGCTCTCTGGTTTAGAACAATGAAGAACGGACAGCTCATCCTGCTTTCTAATGAGGTGACCATGAAGATCAAAGCCATGGCAGAGGTATGCTTAAAGTTATCACCATTATCTCTGCTGTTAATAAACTCTCACATTGTGATATAATTCCAATTCTGGTGCTCTCTTTTCTCTTTCAGGGCTTGCTTTGTGAGACAGCACCGGAGTTCTGGGAGAGTCTGGTGAACCCCTTTTCTGATAGGTTCTTGTGGGCTGAGAGCTCTCCAAGAGGACAGACTTGGTCCTACTTGGATGATGTTGTTCTGAGGGAGTGGTATTTTCACAGACCCTTGAAGAAGTCATCGAAGAGAGAAGGTGCTAAGGGCTTGAAACTCGTTCTCCTTCATAATTCCCATTATGGACGGCTCAGTTGCATCCGCTAAAGAAATTTAGCTTGCATGACAATAGCTCTTTCATTCTAGTCTATAGATGAAATGATATGAAATTTACTTTTCCTTGAGTCTGCCTTTGGTCTTATGTTCTTAAAACTGATATTACAGCAAGAATCTTGTAAAAAACTGACATACAAAATAATAAAAGTAGTTTTAAAATGAGACTTAAATTTTTTTTTTTTAAATCAAAACTCATATACACTATTTTCTTAGGGTTGCAAAAATAGGATTCTCTATTTGCGGTTTAGATTATATTAAACTACAAAATCAAGATTCTTAGATGGGGTAGGAGTGCCCAATATAAGGGAATAACAGTTTTTTTTATTTTCTTATTAAAATACTTTTGCTTCATTCATGTCATTTGTTAAATAAAATTTGTCAACCACAGCCAGAAGATGCCAATATTGAAAAAAAAAAAAAAAGAGAAAAATTTTAACATTGAGCTGATGAAGTCATTGAACTAGTTTATAAAAATTGTTAATAAAAAGTGTTTACTTGACCACGCAAGGCACGGTGTGTTGGCTTCTTTAAATTAAAGGTGTGTCTAAAGGTTTGATTGAATTGAATATCACCACACCATGGTAAACACAAAGGTTTTCCTAGCATCCCACATGACTTCCAAATTATTGAGGCTTTAAGTAAATTAATGTGGCATCAGATCTCAGGTAACAACACTAGATAAAGGAAAGCATTTGTTTAAGAAATTAAATACATAAGGTCACACATTAACATGTAAACGTTACACAAAATAGTTGATCACATACTAGAAAACACTAGAAACTTTATGCAAGATTATTGCTGTCATCTGCAGCACTTTTCTGGTTATAATTACAGGACCCTGGGAGAAGAAATCCAAATGAACTCTCTGAATCATCAAATGGTGGTCGAGGGAAGTCATTGAACCCACCCAAGTTGTCAAAGTTCAATGGAGAGAAATAAGTAGTAGGATCATCGATGTTCCCTTTGACATTCATTATATTTTGAACCCCACTTTCACTTGAAGCATTGGGGGAAAAGTTGAAATTCATACTTCCAACCTTATTCGTCACTTGATTGCCTTCTCTACGCTCAAATGGCCCAACCTGTGCTTTAGTTTCTTCTGAAGCAATGGCAGGAGTGTGGCCTTGGAAAAGAGCAATGTGTCCAAACAACTTATCTTTCCTCGAGAATGTAGTGCCACAAGAACAAAGCCATTTATCCTTGCCACAGTGCTTCTCATGAGTTTTGAGATCAGCAACTACTGAAAACCTTTTAGTGTTGCATCTGCTACAAGTGTAGCTCTTGTCACAGTGGGTTCTCTTGTAATGGTTTTTGACACATAAAATGGTCTTCAAAGGTTGAAACTTTTTATGGTCCTTGTTTCGCTTGCAACCAGTACAAGGGCAGGAATACCTCTTGATAAGTGTTGGTTCAGAGCTAGATTCTTTGTGGGGCTTTGCCAGTGCTGCTGGTGTTTTGTACTCATCACCATGACCTCTCATGTGCATCCGTAAATTTGCATCTCTTTTGAATCCCTTTCCACATATTGTGCAAAAGTGGGTGTGCGGTGCAAGGATTTCTTCCTTTTCTGGCTGTAAGATTTCATAGGAACCCGGTGGGAGGTTCTCCCCTTCTTCAGCATCTTCCTCTTCTTTCAAATCATGTTCTTCATTATTATGGTTCTGTTCACTCCCACAGTTAGCACTAACATCATTCTGGTTTGGCTGATTGGAGACTTTGCTTCCACTGGTATTTTGCAGCTGAATACCACCATTCAGGCCTGGTATAGAGGGAAATACAGCTCCTCCTAGTTGCCCAAACTGTCCCATAGATGGAGGGGCAGCAGAATGGGTACTCTTAACATATGGGAGAAGACTACCTGCTGTGGAGATCAATTGAACAATAATTGAAGTTAAGTCAGCAGTAATGAGCTGCTGCTGCTGAGTTACAAGTTCATCTGGTCGCCCCAACACTTGGCCCCTCCTGCCAACAATCAAATGCACCAAATCCCGAAGCTGATGGATCTTTTGTTCCAGGAAAGAGAAACTGCTCAGCATAGCACTTGGATCCCACTCTTGGATTTTATTGGTTGGCCGCAACTCATTCACCAGACCATCTTGACCAACCTTAACTTGATTGAATCCCCGGAAAGGTGGTTCAATCCTCATACTGTAATCTATGATGGATGGATCTTCCCACTTCTGCGGATGCTGTGTATTAAAATTGCCAAAACCCGGTTGACCGGATAGGTTCTTTTGTAGTTCATTACCAGAAAGCCTATTGTTGAGATCCATTTTCAAGGCCTCAAAAAATACCACTAAAAGCTGCAAAACACCAAAGAAAAAGAAAACAATCATCAATATTCAACGAAGTTTCACTATACAATCCAAGAAAGCTACTTTCCCGGCACAGAAAGTCGAATCTTCCTTGCTTAACCCCATACTCATCCTCTTGAATTCAACCCTAAATCACAAACCCTATTCTTAAAACCATGAATTCAAAGCCAGTAAACCGATATCATAAAAATCTCAGTTTTCTATCCAACCCAACCACACAAACCTCATTTCAAAACGATTAAAGCTAAGATGCTGCTCCACTACAACTAAATTCTCTATCTTCAAATTTCTTGTTCAACTTAAAACCCTAAATATCCATTCCAAGATAACGAGTACCAGAAACTGTCAAAGCAAGCAGATTTAGAAAGATCTTAGCATGTTACCCAACACCCATATGGAAAAATTAAAAATTTCAGCTAACAAAGCTAAAAAGTTTCAAGATTTATCATTTTTTTTTTTTTTTTTTCTATCCGCATCAAGATTTATCGTGTCATAATCATAAAATATGCCTCCTAGAATAACACCAGATATTGAGAGAGAAACAGAAGAGACTCACCAGATATTTAGGATGGCTTAGATGAACCTTCTCTCATGCACAGACAGAGAAAGGGGTGGAATGAAAAGGCAATACCACGCTCGACCCAGTCAATTTATCAGCAAGGTCTGTGGCCAAAAGAGGGTGGACTTTGTCACCAAGGTGGGACCATCTCAGGTCAAAACCATCAACCACAGCCGTTAATAACTGGGGAACCTTTCCTGATCAGCTCAGAAACCACCATCAGATTGACTAGATTGATGATGAAAAGATAATTGGAGCCGTTGATGGGTCAACTTCCATTCCATCAGATCTAAGCTAGCTCATTGGACTTTGGAAGAGAACGTTGGTGGAGCTTGGAAGGCGACAAAAGGCGTTGAATTCTGATTGGTGGAGATGATGGGTCCCACCCAACTAAGATGATTCTCTGTGTGTGATAACACTATTTCTTTTTCTTTTTTCTTTTTTCTTTTTTTTTTTTTTAAATCCTGTAATGACACCATTTCTGAGTCCACCTACTACTCTACTAGTTCAAGCACCGTTTTTTGGTTAAATTTTTTTTTAATCCTTTACCTTAATAAATTTAGAGATTTTAACCCCTCACCTATACAAGTTGAAGAAAATAACCCTTACTCAAGGTCAGATTATAACATTTCGTTAGTTTTGTTAACTGACTATTAATTCCATTAGTTAATTGTTAATATTCCGTTAGCATTCCGTTAATAAAACTAACAAATAAAATTGAATTTAAATTTTATGTTTCTTTGAGGGAATGCTAACAGTAACTAATAATCAGTTAATAGAACTAATAATCAATTAACAGAACTAACAAAATATTATAACTTGATGTCAAATAAGAGTTATTTTCTTTAACTCATATAGGTGATATGTTAAAAGTGTTATAATATAAGATGAATGATTAAAATCTATAAATTGATTAAGGTAAAGAGTTAAAAGTGTCAAGATGAGGAACTAAAACTTATAAATGCAATAGGCTAAATGTAAGTTTTTGTCCCATAAATGAAATGTTATTTTTAGTCCTCAGCCTTTATGGCCACTTCCAAAGTCATCCCCAATTGTTATAAAGCCAAACAATTCAGTCCTTTTATGATATTAACTCATTTTACCATTATCGTTTATGAATAAAAGTTTCTACTAATTTGCATATTTCTTTTAAAAACTTCAAATTATAACTTTTATAAATTGTTATTTGATCCCATCACATCTACGTTAGTAGTACCACAATTATAAATTTATTATTGTCAGTTATAAAACACTTCATGAATTCTTTAAAGTGAGAAAATTTTCTATCAATTCTAACTTTTAAAAATCTATATGGGTGTTTGTTTTAAATTATAAATAATAATAATTGTCAACTATTAAACATTTGTTATTAGCTATCAATTGCATCAAAATAACTAATTCAACTCAGAAGCTAAACCTTATCTTTTTTACATTAAAAGTTAAGGATCTAATTGTGTGATTTCAAATATTAGGAATGACTTTGCAAGTGACCTTAAAGTTTGAGGACCAAGAAAAATATTTAACCTTTGTAGCTTTAACCTAGCATTGAGACCGAAGGGTTAAGTGGAGGGGAAGAGAAGCCACGCCCCCGCCGGTCTCCACTACTGGGGTTCAAGGAGGCTTCAAGTCTAGGGAACGAAAGTCAAGGGTGCAACTCCATAATGCTAGAAAGCCGGACGTGTGAAGTTCTACCTACCCACCTTCCTCAGGGGATGACTGGATCTGAAGGAGGAGCTTACTGGATTCCTTTATTTCTTTTTATCTAGTAGTAATTTTTTATTCCCACCACAAACTCAATTATTGCATTGAAATTTGCATTTTTAATAATCTCTTTTGTCTTTCTGTGACCATCGATCTTATATGTTACAATGTGTGAACGTGATGTCCCTGAGTTTCAGCCCTCAGGACGGCAGCAATATGATTTGTTTTCTTAAAAAAAAGGAAAAAAAATCTAACAGTAGCTGTAAAGGGAAGAGTTGGAATGGTTTGCAAATGTCACTGTGAATGGTCAGTTCAACAATCGAAATAGCTGTATTATCAAAAATAAAGGATTATGTATTTTATCTATTGGTTAAATGAATATTTATTAACTAAAAATATTTTAATTTAATTAATAGTTTAAATAATTTAGTGATAATTTTTTTACATTAGAAATAAAAAATT